TCGTGTCGAGTAAAACGATTTCGTGTCGGATAACACGAGTTCGTATTAGAAAACTCTATCTTTTATTCGTACTTCATTTGTTTAGGACATCAACACCAAATGCAATCATTATTTTATTGTGGGATATACATGCATTGCAAGAAATACAACCAAAGGTGGTGTAAGATGTGAAAATGTATTAACAATGTTTTACAAATCCATCCAACCAAATTCTTAAAACAAACATGCCCTAAGATCCACCCGTATGCATGGTGTAGGTTAAATCTCAATACTCCTCTCCCCCATATACATGCAATGGATATTTGCCAAAAATAGATAGAAAAAAGTAATTCCATTAGCCGATTGGTTAAATCACTAGAGTGCAAAAGATATTGAAACTTAGAAAAAAATTGGTAAATCAAAATATATCTATTTTTGTATTTATATCTATATTTTCTATTTGACACTTAATTTATAATTAATTACACATATAATTCTCATTTTTTATAAAAATATTATTTAAATTTATTTATGCTTAACTTATGTCATGCATTATTAATATATTAAAAAAAAAAACTGACTGGCACTAATCTCAATGAGTACCACACAAAAGGCCCATTAAGACAAGGTGGATCAATCGGGTCCGCCGGTCAGCACAGGCCACTACCTGGTGGCTGGGCGTAGGCTTGATTCTTGATGCTAAACCTTATGGGTGTGTTTGGGGAATGGGGTGGGAAAGAGTAGGTTTTCTTTTTTAATTTTTTAATCGATTTAAGTCAAATTTACTCATTCACTTTAAAACCTTAACTTAAGATTATATTCAACCCTAACTTTTGTTTGAAAAATAAATTTATAATTTAGTGGACCCCATAGATTACAAAAATTATTTTATAGTAGTTTATCATTCTACTCATGATTCTATCTATTCCAATCCAAACCAATCATATTCTATGTTTGGTTAACCCATCCAAGCCTAATAAAATTATACATTTTCCACATATACATAAAAATAAATAAAAATAAGGAAAGTTAAATATATATATATATATATATATATATATATATATATATATATATATATATATATATATATATACTTGTATTTTTTTTTTTCAAACAAATCAACAGTTTATTTCATTTCTTAAAAATTGATTACAATGGGAGAAAGGCATACAACTTTGTCTTAATATGTTTCGACCGGTGGATTATTGTAATAAAATTATATATTTTTCACGTATACTTAAAAACATATAAAAATTATATATGATTTAGACCCCTTGTTTAATTTTTTAGTTTTATTTCAATAGATAGTATAATTATATACTAATTACGATTTTTAAGAGAAATTAAAATTTTCTTTTTAATTTTATTTCAATAAATAATACAATAGAATATGAATTTTGATTATAAAATAATATTTGATATTCTATTTTTGATTGAAATATTTTTGGTCTAAGTATAATATTTTAAAATTAAGGAGTCTGAATATTATATACTTACTACAAACTTCGAATAGATTTAAGTGTAATTTATTAACAAATATATTAATCTTGAGGGGTCTAAGAATTACGTGCGTATAAACTTGAGAGAATTTGTGTTTAATATTTTAAATATTAGGGATTTGAATAATTCAATGACAAATTGCAGGGAAACTAAGTGCAATTCTCCCTAGATAAATCTCTCAAACCCAGAAGCCATATCCATCCGTCTGCCATTGATATCTGCAACTCCCATATACATCCCACCACCACCATTAAACCCACCACCACCGCCACCAGAACCCACCTCCCCATCTCTCCCACCACCTCCACCTCCACTCCCATCTTTCTCCCCTGCAATAGAAACGCCACCACCACCACCACAATAAAAATACCCACCACCACCACAATAAAACACCCACCACCACAATGAAAACACCCACCACCACCACTACCTCCCACCACAACAATTCAATGCTTCCTTCAATTCAAGATCGTACATGGAATCCCAAACATGGGTTTCGTTCGACTAAGAGTCCTACCCAAACGTACTCAGATTTGAACCTTGAGTTGGGCCTCCAATGGAACACACTCTGATTGACTGGAGAAGAGAGAGGGCAAGAGAGGAGGGACAAAGATGTCTTGGATGGGGTTATTCTCTTGCCTTTGTTTGTAACCCATGGGAGGGGTGGGTTAAGTGGAGCCGATGTAGGAGGGTTAAGTGAAACTATAGAAACCAGGTCAAGCCTTGACCTGGAATTTGTATCCAATCTCAAAAAATTTTCCAAATAAAGGTTATCTGGGTTGCACACTTAACCCACTATAGTAATCAACTAAGTTTTGAATATTCTCAAGGAAAACTCAACACCTAATAGAATGAATTATGAATTCAAATGTATTGAGTTTAAAATTTAATAATTTTTTTAAAGTTAAATTATAAAAAATTTATTTCTAATAAATACTTAGTCTTGTGGTGGCTCACCTTTTGATCAAACCAAGGAATAGATTATTTAAAGTGCGCATAATCTACCTAGACAATCTTGACCACAACACACCAAAAGAAAAAAAGCCACCAAGTTTTCAATAACTGAAAAGCAACTAGAAAGCAAGAAAAACTTGTAATTGAAAAAAAAAAAAAAACTTTATGCGAAAGTGAAAATGACTTCCTCATGGGAAGCCGGCACCCACTAGAAAGGTTACATGGCTACCCGTGTATTTTTCTCTTATGGTCATGCTAAGGAGTGAAAACATGACTAACATACAACTTTTGTGTTTCACACAAAGAGGTTTGAATAAGGAAAAGACACAATGTGTCAAGTGTTCCCACGGTCAAGGAAGTGTCCTTTTACCAAACAATTAATTAATGAAATTGAAATGAGCCTCATACATCTTAGGTCAACAATTAGAAAGGCACCACATATTAATTCTTGCCACTTGTTCTTATCAATGTGTCATGCCCAATGTGGGGTTGTTTTATTTGGCAAACAACCTTAATACTTGGTCTTGAAAATAATTGGTAATACTATGTGAAAATAATATAATATTTGTCCCAATATGATAAACAGGCAGAATAGTTACGGTTCATGTGGACCAAGGTGCGATCATATAGGAATAATGTGGATGTTAAAATAGTTATGATTCAATATGAATTTGGTTACGATTAATGTGAACCGAGTTAAGATTATATAAGAATTATACAGATGTGAAATAGTTACAACTCAATATAAATTCTGTGTCATAGTCAAACGTTTAGGATAAAGTGCTCTATTATCGGTCTTTGCACCATTGTCTATGATCTCCAAAGCTTTAGAAAACAAGTCATGGTAAATTATGTTAGAATATTTTAACTAAAGATCTCGGGACTCTCACGTGCGCATGGGTGAGATTAGCGGAGAAGATACAAATATCTAAAAATCTACGAACCACACTGATGTGCCTAGTCCACGACTTGGGTACTGAGTCCCCACTGACTCGCCTAAATGAAATAAAATATTAATTAGTATTAAACCCACTTTTTAATATTACCTCCAGCAACTAGTAATATTTTTTTTAGTTATTATATAATTAAATATAGAAGTAATTACAACTTATTAAACACATATATTATTTGTATATATATGTACATATTTTCAGTATAGAGATATACAATATCATATCAACTATCTTCTTACAATATAAGTTTTTAGACAATATTCAAAGGTATGTGTGAAACTTCTGTTTCATTCGATTGTGCAAATCTGGTGAAGCAACAGTCAATAAGTTGGACTGTTGAATTCTGGGAACGACGCGTTACTACGTTTTGCACTGTAATTCTTTCATAAAGAGGCGCGAATCATCTTAAGAGAGCGACCTAATTCGCGCCTCACCTTATTGTTGACTATATTTCCATCCAATTTTTTCCAACACACTATGATTTGAAACACTTTAATATTCAAAAGGCAGGCAACTACATGGAGACCAAGGCGGGGTATTCTCAAATTTTCAAAATTACACTATTACCCCTTCAAGTTTTCAAGAATTCTATATGTTCTTGTAGGTTTTTGATTTTTTTTTTTTTTGGTATAAAGGAAATTCAAGTAGTGTATCCAACTGCATAATAGCATGACATTAAGCATTTACTAACCAAATGGGGGATATTGTTCATATGTACAAGTGGGTTCTTATAAAAGAAAAGACTTGTCTGGGCAAATTTGGTGACCAATAGAAAAAAAGGAAAAAAATTTTATATGAATTTAAAAAATAGACTTGATAATCTTAACTATTAATCTCACTGTAGATCCCAATATTTATTAAGAGTCATTATCTATTCAATAATTAAAATTATCAAATTTAATTTTTAAGTTTATCTAACATTATTCCATCAATAATCACTAGCTCTCAGATGACATATACGTGTTTTGCGTCTTCCCCTCCTTCACGTGCCTTGTGTCAGATTGTTGACAGCGTTGTAGGACCAAATTAGGGAAAGGGGTCATCACGTGTGACGCTTTTTACACGATTTTTTTATTATGTTAAACTATCATCTAATCTACACGAATAAGAGAGACGTGTAAAATATGTATTTATTTAATAAATTTATAATTTTTTGATATGATTGGAAAACTATTTTGTGGCACTAATGTGTCTTATTGGTTAAACCAGGGTAAAAGCAGCCACAAAATTATGTGAAACACGTTGATGATAATTGAGTCTTTTCCATTGACTGGTATTGTGATATTTATGGGTGACGACAATATCACGCGGTGATGTGTTTTAGGAACCCACTATCATGTTCATCTTTCGCTCCAAGTGGAGGACTACGGGTCTTGTGAAAACTGAACCTGAGTTGAATCTTCTTGGAATTGGAGGGACCGTTTACTAGAAAAGAAACATAGTTATGTCTTGATAAGTGATGGTGCTTCAGTATCCCTATGTGCCGTGTTACACGTTTTGGTGGTGAAGTCATGGTATATATAGCTGAGAGACTCTAGTTTTCATTTGTGGCCAAACATCTGAAACTGGGTAGGTGGGTTTGTAGAGAGAGAGAGAGAGAGAGAGAGAGAGATGGTGAGAACTCCATGCTGTGACAAGGCTGGACTGAAGAAGGGTACTTGGACTCCAGATGAAGATAGAAAGTTAATAGCTTATATCACCCACTACGGGTGTTGGAACTGGCGTCAACTTCCCAAGTATGCAGGTACGAGTCTACTTTCCGGTACCATAGTACCATAGTTTAGTACAGATGATTTGATTATTGCAATGACTTTTTGCGATAAATAGGAAAAATGGTCCTCAAAAACAGATATTTCATGACCAACATTACAGTTCGTTGCTTAGTCTAAAACTTCTGTGTTCATGTTTTCTTCCCGCTTAGTCTAAAACTTCCTTGCTTGCTTCTTTCTTAAGGTTTATCAAGGTGTGGGAAGAGTTGTAGATTGCGGTGGATGAATTATCTACGACCAAACATCAAAAGAGGGAACTACAGCAAAGAAGAGCAAGATCTCATCATCCAATTACATAAGTCTCTAGGAAATAGGTATCCCCTCTCTCTCTCATGTAATGATTCACTATTTATACAAGTGTTCTTGATAGCATACAAACCAACTATAATGTAATCCATCATTAAGAGCAAAAGAACTTATGAAAATTGTGTCGAGGATGTAGATTTTAAAAATTGAACCACGTTATATCTCATCATACAAATTTCAACAAAATCTATCTTCATGAAGTTATAAAACGTAAATATCAAATTTGACAAGCTGTTCAAAGTTTTTCCCAATTAGTAATATGAAATCTCATATTGTTCTTTCTCTGCAGATGGTCAATCATTGCAGCCCATTTACCAGGAAGAACAGACAATGAGATTAAAAACCACTGGCATACCTACCTCAAGAAACGCTCAAAGCAAAACTCAACTTGCGATGAACCAAAAGTGAGCTCCGACGATCATTCTCACGGTGAAACCAGCAGTACTGATCAACCATCTCCTTTAAACCCTGAAAATCACCGAATCCTTGAAAGCTGCCCATTGTCTCCACAACTAGTTTCTGGTGAATTTTCGACTTCAACCACAGATTCTGCCGGAGAAAACGGCAGAGAGTTAGGCCGAGATGATGATGTTTCTCCGGCGGAAATATTTGCAGAACCGGTCGGAGATTTTTGGACAGAACCATTTTTGGAAGACGATTACAACAGCATGAACGACTTCGTGGCGCCATTTGTAGATCCTGGGCTTTTGTATCCACCTTCTCCGATTACTGGGGTGGAATTTTCATGCTCAGATGGTTTGTATAATGATCAGAATTACGCCTTAAACTGGTAATATTAACTAATCTAATGAAACGAGAACTTCAGAAAGCGAGTGATTTCCGTCCAAATCTTGCTTCTACTTGGTGGCATTTTGTCCTGCTTCTAATTTATTAAATATGTATATTGTAGGGCATGACCACGTGATGTGATAAAATAACTTTAGGTGTGGTCGAGTAATGGGGTTGAATAGGATATAATTTGTTTTTTTATGTCCTAATTCATTTAAGTTTAACCCACTCATCTACTTTAAAATTCTAATTCAAGATTATATCCAATCGTAATATTTATTTGGCAAATAAATATATAATTCAATGGGCTCCATAGATTACACAAATCATATCTTATGTTTGGTTAACGCATCCAATCCTAATAAAATTATACATTTTCCACATATACATAAAAGCATATAAAAATTAGGAAATTTAAATATATATATATGGGTATTTTTTTTTCCAAACAAATATTTTTTTGTAACCAAAAAAAATTATTTATTTACAAAAAACAGAGTCATTATAAGAAGCAAATAAGGCAAAACAACCTTATAAAACCAAGCTAACAGTCGCCTTATCAACTAAAATGTCAAAAAACTACCAGCAAAACCAAATAGTAAGCAAAACCATTTAGTCTATAAGCTCCATTCCAACCATCTTTCCATCTTTAAAATTTCCAGCAAATCAATACTAAAGCAGCAGGAACAGATCGAGTATTCCACAAAGCAGCAGCAACCTCACAAGGCAGACGCAACTCTACGGAGTAGTCAATAAATAATAGCATAATGTTTTTTCATTTTTTTTCAAACAAATCAACAACTTATTTCATTTGCCAACAAAATTACAAGAAGCAAACCCCATTTATCAGTCATGGAAAAATAGAAAGCATCAAAGAATTACAATCTTCTTCCTAAACGCCTTAACCCCTTCCTTATCCTGTAACATCAGCAACTTTGCCTGCAATGGAATGATCAAGTCCAGGGAAAAATCAGCAGAACAAATCTGCCTGACAGCCCATTTTGCCAAAAAATTAGCCAAACACACTACAAAAAATAGCAACTTTAGTGGCAAGAAAAGTCGTCACTAAAACTCTTAAATTTGTCACAAAAGTAATTAGCGGCAAAAAAAAAATTGTCACTAGGTTGTCACTAAAAGTTAATAGTGACAAACTACATAAGTTGTCACAAATAATCTAGACCTTTAGTGATGATTCTGTATCATCACTAAATCACTCTTAATAGCGGCAAAATTTGTCAATATTTTAAAACTTTCATCACTAAAAAGTATATTTCCGCCACTTAAAAACTATTTTCAGCCCCAAAAAAAAAAAATTAGTGTCAAAATATATTGACACTAATTAGTATCCATCAATCATTAGTGACGGAATATTTTGTTGTCACTAATATGTTTAGTGACAATTTCAACCTTTCGTCCCTAATTATGATAAAATTTTATTGCCACTAAATTATCGGTGGTAGTGACAATATTTTGATTGTCACTAACAATTTTTGTTTACCTTTAATGGCTAGCTTTATAATCGTCACTAAAGACTTGTTTGGTGACAATATTTTTTTATTGTCACTATAAAATTTTAAAGTATTTTTGTGATAAATTTTGTAGCAGTCATTAAAAAACTCTACAGTGACGACTTTTGTGGTTGTCACTCACATAATAATTTGTAACAGCTGTCATAAACCCTGTATAAAATTGACATGTTATTAAAATATCCTAATATTTTAATATCATTCGAAACAAATCAAAATTCAATCATAGTTTAATTATAAAATAAAAAACTTATGAAATTATCATAAAATTTTAAACAATCCAACGAATACTAAAAAAAAAAAAATAGCAATAAAAAAAGGTTTTTCTAAAGCAACAAAATAAAAAATTAACAATAAATTGTTGGTCTTTATTCCTTCCATAACCATGAGAAGATGTAAAGCAAATTTCATGTTGAACAAAAAATGTATGCAGGGCTTTCGGATTAATCCTGGTTCTTTGAACATGATCTTCTATTCTCGTAAAGATGTCGCAAAAATAATCACCCTGACAAAAATTAAACAACATAATATATGTTACAACTCTTTAATTTTAAATCATATAAAATAGTAAAAGCTTGGGCAAAAATGTCATCATAAAAATATTGGCTTGGTAATGTCTAAATCTTATTTTCAAACTTCTTTTCACTCTATGCAACACAAGAAACAAAACTCCAACACTTATCATCAAAGGTTTAGACTGAGTGGTAATCAACCAAATAGTCCTTCTAATTTCTGATAGCAGTGTATTGCACTTTGCACTCTTACAAAATGTATTGTAGCACTTTTAGCATTGTTAAGAGAGGTTTAACACCAAAGACTATAGATGATCATCATTAAAGAACACACAATTTCTACTATATGTCATGAGACTCATTACATCAACTACTTCCCATTGTCCACAAGCACAACAATACTTATATGATTAAAAGAAAAAAGAAAAAATCACCAAAAAGTATGAATCCTATGAAAAAAGACCATCATGCTTAGCAAACATAAATGTTTTGCTTCAAATGATTGCATCAAATAAATAAAAGCTAATCTTGCAAATATGGTAATGAGCTGAATATCTAATCAATAATAGTTAACTCAAACTTTAAGTCATAAAATTCAACTGTCATATTATTGTCTTATTATCAAATCTTAACAACCATGACAAACTAATTTAATGGATCTATGTTGTCATCGAGTGTGTAGTCAATCACAATATCGATCTCTAATTAATATATAAAAACACCATAATATCAGCAAGTATATTACACAATTTCTTCCATAAAGCCCCAAGCCATTTCATAATTGCAAGTAGAATAAAAAATTAAGAACCTGTTCATAAGTTCTAATACTTCAAATGGAATTATTGTACACCCTCAAATTTATCATACAAAAGTAAAAATGAGAACACTTACCTAAATTGCAATCGCCCTGGTTGAGCCTCATACTGCTTCCATCTATCATGCAATGAAATAAAGTTTATGACACCTTCAAAAAAAAAGGAAAAAAAAATCAAAACTAAACTTTCATTAATCAAGTATTCCACCTATCATGAAAGAGGGTCAGGCGCAAGGGCAATGGCATTGGCAGACATGTGCCTCTCATCCTGCATCTGCTTCATCAATGCTTGCAAAATTTCATTTGTTGCATTTTGGGTTACCCCTTGCATTTGCTCCATTAGTGCTTGTAAAATCTCATTTGTTACCTTTTGGGTTGCCTTAATCACTTCCATATCCTTTTGTTGAGCATTGAGTTTTTCTTCCAACTCATTGGCCCTTTTGTTAGCTACCTCCAACTTTGATTTATCATGGTGCTTAGATAAGGATCGGTTAGGTTTCGGACCATGCCCACGGCCACGAATGTACCCTGACTTGTGTCCAAGAACCTCTGAGCAAATTTCCTCCTCACAAACTGGTGCTTCATTCTCTCCTACAGGGTGCGACTAAAGCTCCACCATTTGCTCCTAAAGTGGCAAGGCATATAAATTTTAAATTACATTAGTTCAATTAATATGATGATAAACAAAAATTTTAACCGAATTGATAACTTACATAGTTATGATGTGCATAGTCATTAACCCAAGAGTGTTTCTTATTACTATAGTGAGTTATCCTATATAACTCAATTGGCCCAAGCACTTCACCAGTTTAAGCAGTCTACATCAATTCAAATATGTGAATTAGTTTTTGAAGCATATCATTATGCATATGATACACTCTATACTAAGATTTATGTTGCTACCATTTCAACACCCATCCGGGAAAAAGACTTTGTCCCAGTTACATGGGGAGTATTTTGCATTGTCCGATTCCTTGCATTTTGAGCACTCCTTTTCTACATTAAAATAGTCAAACTTTCGTCCATTAGAAAATTTTTAAACGAATAAAGGGAAAATTGATTTTGTTTAGTATCTATAGTAAGTTTAAGAACCTTAAATTCGTCAGAGGAAAAGTAAGAACAAAGATAATTCCAATCTTCTTGTGGCACGCTTGGTGGTGGATGTTGCATTGCTACTTCTGTTGTTGGGTGTGGCAAGAAATAGTTCTTGTGTAGTTTATGGCGATGATTCCTATATTGCGTGTTCATTTGGGCAAATGTTATATCTTTAACCTGTCCATCATGGAGATTGAACGATACCTACAAAAAATAGCGAATTGTTTACATTGTTAACAATGAATGCACTGTGAGAAATAAAGGTAACAACAATTGAATTACAAAATAAAAAAATAAGTTTGTTTATTGGATGCAGAAAAAAAAAAACATAAACCCCCTTTTATTAACTTTTGTTTCATAGTCTAGTTGAAATGTTTAAGTACTTGGAAAAACACCTACCTTGGCCATTTGGAGTAAACTCTCCCGATCGGCTTTGTCAATCTTTGCCCATTTTGTCACTTGAAGAGGTGCATGCTTCCGAACAATGCATCCTAACTCTGTTATAAGTGGTTGACATTCCAATCCTACTATTCGCCCAAGCTCTTCAGGCATCTCGACATTAAGCTTCTCACTGGCTTGGTTTTTTTTTGGCAACCGCAATATTTCGGGTTGGTCCCCGTTTCCTCCTTGTTGAGGATGACTCTCAAGATAAAGTATGAACAATGTTGGTAGATGATTTTGTTAAGAACCTAATTTTTTGATAAAATTAAAACATAAAGAAAATTCAATAATCAATAAAAAATTAAAAATACAGCTTCAATAAGTCAATATTTTGAACAATATTTAACATAATTCCATTAAACAAACATATCAACATTATGTTCGACATGTACCTCTGGCAAAGGAACATTATGTACACTCGTGGAACCATGAGACTATCGTGCAAGTGACAATGTACCACCATTAGCACCAGTTTGTGTCTGTTTATCAGATGGTAATGAAACCGGAAGCAGTACTGATAGTTGTCCTCCACCACGCCTAACAGCTCCTTGTTTCCCCAATTCGGCCATCTGTGTGCAATGAAGTAACAAAATAATACAACAAATGAATATCAATTGCGTAAATACAAATTGTTATGCACATCTATGTGTGTATATAAGAAATACAAGTACTGCAACATTATAAAATTTTCCTAGTATAAGGTGAATTACATTGAAACCTTACCTTTAGTCAGATTCACATTCGTCATTACTAAATGTATCATCTTTGTGAATATCATCAATACAATAATCTTCCTCGATATCACTGTCATTAATGAAGTTGTTATCTTCTTCATCTACATTTTCCATTGGTTATTCATGAAATATATTATCTACATCAGTACATCCTAATGAAATCATATCATCTCTTTCTAATGATGGCATTTTATCAATTTCCATTGATTCAAAAACCTCATCAGGCACATGTTCTTGGTAAGGCTCCTTACTAGAAATCAATTGTTCTTCAAACTGTTCAGGAACATCAAAAGACCCGCGAGGTTGAGTTCTCTCTACAACGAGTCAATTTTTCCCTAACTTCAAATCTTCAATATAAAAAACTTGTTTTGCTTGAGAGGCAAGCACAAATGGTTGGTCCTTATACCAAGTTCGTGATACATTTACACTAGTAATATTCCAATCCTTGTCTATTTGGATACTTGTACTGTCCTTTAAATCCCACCAATCACACTTGAATAACATAACTCGATTCTACCCAAGTAGATATTCTAACTCAATAACTTCAATGATTGCGCCATAGAAGTTTATCACCCTCCCATCATGTTCTCCCTCCACGACCACACCACTATTTTGTGTTTTTCTTTTCCTCTCACGATCTTGAGTGTGGAGCCTAAACCCATTTGCATTATGACCTGTGTAGCATTTCACTCGATTATCAGGACCCTTGGCAAGGGACAAGAGTTTTTTGCTAGCACGCCCTTCATGGTACAATTTTTTAACCTATACATAAAAGTGAAAATTGTCAATAGAACCCTAGCCAAATAATCAAATACACATTGTTTTGATAATAGCAACAAAAATAGGTATATTTCAAAGTGCACTTACACATTGTTCGAACCATTTAGGAAACTGCAAGTCATGCTTTTGATTAACATTCCTTGTATTCTCAGCTTTTAGAATAAGACTTGGGAAATGTATCACAAATTGGAAAGACATCTTTCAATATTTCAAGCAGCATGTCAAAACACTTATTGCTCATTCAATACATCATTTTTAAATGAAGCAGCTTCACAAGAAAAGACAGCTTAGAAAACTTCTTACATCCTAGATAAAGTTCTTACTCTGCATCATTCAACAATTTAAGAAATATATCTATTTCTCCTCCATCCACATGAACAGCCTATTGAATAAATTCTTCTCTAACCCCCCAATTGTCCCCAAAATGACCAGTGGCAATATCATCTATCATACCATGCATGTCATCAACTTCATTACCTTGCTTGTAGTTCTCCTCAACACCCTCATCATTAGCAAAATTGTTTTCAAAATCTTCCCTGTGATATATCCACCTAACATAACTCTTAACTATCCCGTGCATCAATAAATGTCTTTCAACAATTTCTCGAGTGTGGTCATAGAAGTTGTTACACTTCATACAAGGACATGGGATCTTACTATGTGGTTCTTTACGAGCATATGCAAACTGGAGGAATTCTTTCACTCCCAATTGGAAAATATGGTGTAATCTATTCTTTTGCTGCATCCAACTCCTATCCATACTTGTGTTCCTACACAATGAACAAATTCAACGCTGCAACAAACTATCCAATTGACCTCAACACATTAGACGAAAAAAATGGTTCAAATAAAAGAATTGATTAACTCAATTAATTGGTTGAGAATGTAATAACATCAAAACAACGGTTCTATTCATGATAATAATAACAATTTTACCCTTTCTCATAAAAGTAATGAAATTTCTAGCAACTGGCCATCAATTTTTGAAAAAAAAATGTAGTGACAATGAAGCACTAATAAAAAATAGCACTAGTGAAGACAAAGCAAAATCTTCAAGTCAGAGTTTCCAAATTTACTAGTCTTAAGGCATGTTTGTTTTCAGTATTAAATTTGGGTGGTATTAGAAATCATTTATATTCTACTCCTATCCAATGGTATACTATACCCGGTCTTAAACTTGTATCTCATTCTTCCCTTTGTTTTTTTGTTCAATAGATACTATAGTGAGTCCCACAAACAACCATCTATTCTATCATATCTTATAAAACAAATATATCATTTTACCCTTAACATCTTCCATTCTATTTTACCCTTAACCATCTATACAAGGAAAAATTTAAAATAATTTTAAAAAAAAAATCGGTAACACCGTACACTTAAACATAATATAAGAAAAAAATTTAAAACAATTTAAAAAAAAAATCGGTAACACCGTACGCTTAAACATATTACAAGAAAAAAATTTAAAATAATTTTTTTTTTAAAAAGGTAATATCGTACACTTAAACATAATACAAAGAAAAATTTTAAAATAATTTTTTTAAAAAAAAATTAAAAAAGAAAAATCGGTGACACCGTATGCTTAAATATAATACAAGGAAAAAATTTTAAATTTTTTTTAAAAAAATTGGTGACACCATACGCTTCAAAATAACTTTTTTAAAATTTATTTTTAAAAAAATTGGTGACATCGTACGCTTAAATATAATACAAAGAAAAATTCAAAATAAATTTTTTATATATGAACTCTTCACATAGGAGGGCATTTGTGTCATTTTACTTTCTTATACCGTCCTTTCACTTGTACCAGAAGATAATACCACCTGGTAGGTGGTATTGCTTAGTACCATATAGAAGACATTAAAGTCACTGTTCACACTGGGTCGGTACTACGATCCGAAAAATAATACCAAACAAAAAATTGTCAAACAAACAAAGTATAAAGTGAACTCCACATACTATTTCCCTTATACCACCCCCTTATACCACTCATATCCCGGAAACAAACAGGCCCTTAGAGAATGATTTGGTATTTTGTCACATATATTTCAATGTCATATGACTTTTCTAATGCTCTCAAGCACAATTAAATCAAACTTTTTTTAATCACCTTATAGCTGATAGTTGATTTTTCAGACAAATCAAGTATGCCATATTTCAAATTCTAAATCTATTGACTAGCTTTTGTAACAACTCTAAATCTATTGACTAGCTTTTGTAATGTTGTTGCTGCTTGATTAATCATTAATGTTACTAATATTGGTGAGTTTTGGGGAAAGTTGTATGTGATTTTAATATATAATATTTTGTTTTCAAAATAATCTGCGTACATTACAAATTTGAACCAACTAGTGTATATATACAACATTAACTCTTAAAATATTTTTGTCGCTGAAAATTTTTAATTTTCAAAACTAACCTCCCTAAATTAAATTCTCCAAACTGGCTCAACACAATAAAAACTAGAAATTATAGGCTGGACCCAACTCTACCTCTATATCCTGGGTGCAGCTCCTCGGCTATGAGGAAAAAATAGCATAGAATGTTATTAATTAAAACGTCGACGTTTTAGTTAGTTTTGCACAAGAAAACAAATCCTCCAAAAACAAGTGTTGAAAGTCTTTATCTGAGATTCTGAGGTGCAGACCAGAAAGGAGGTTCCCTCTCCAAAACATGAAGGCTTTTCTCTCTAAAATGGTCTTCCTTCTAGTCTTAGGTGAGTCTGCTGGTCATTATGTCTTTTATTCCATTATGTCACTACCAGGGAACTCATCCTTCTCCACCTTTACTATTTTACTACTACGTCTCATTCGGTTTCTCGATTATATCAACTACCAATCACCAATATTAGTGTAGACATGGGGTTTCAATTCCTTCTTGTTTGGAGTCCCAGTGAAGCAAAAAGGAACAGGGTATAAAATCAAGCTTCATGGTCAACAATGGGGAAGTTCAGGTGTTGAAGCAGATGAAGAAAGGGCCTAGCAAATTACCCCCAGCAGCCTTAGCGAATTACCCCCACCAGCCCCTAGCGAATTACCCCTAGCAGTCCACCAGTCCAGGTATAACTCCTCTCTCTCTCTCTAGCCCACCGGCCAATACCACCTTTCCATTGTTGTTCACCACTGTTTTCCACAACCACAACCCCTTTTCAGGTTCTTCACCACCACCACCTCAACCCCTCTCTGTTCTCCCTATCGATCAAATCAAACCACAACCACCAAGTGTTCGACAAAAATTCTCAAACACTATCCTATACAATTCTCTCTCTAATTTTTTTTTTCACATATCGATTTTAGAAAAGCACATATCACATATCGATTGTAGGCCAATTACAAACAATTTAAATTGTGATTTAACAATTTAGAACCAAAAAAACTCATAAATATTCAAATCAAGGACAAAAAGCACAAAACTCATACTTATATTAGAGAACCATGCTTTCACTTATCAATAGCCATGGAAGGAATAAGACAAACACATTTTTATTTGGCAACATACATGAAGCACAGACTGTAACATGTTTAAAATCATTGGAAAAGTTGAAGCAGCATAAAAATATAAAAGAGAAACAAACACTAGCAATCCATAAAATTGATT